AAGTAATCATTGTTGGGTCCAAAGTGAAAATATAATTATTACTGATTTTACATCGTGACTACTAGGTTTAGATAACAAAGTGTAACGTTACTACTGTTTTTAGTCCACATTAAACATGTTGATAACCCCTTTTAATCAAAGCAGAACACAAGAATAAACAACTCGTTTATAATATAAACGACGAAATCTTATGACTGGTTCTGTACAGTTTTACAAATGAATTTATAAAATAAATTGATATCGAGTTTCGAAATAAATCTCTAATGTTTTGAGGTGATAATAAGTGAAGTATGTATGCACATGTGTGTACAAAGGGAAGTTGTATAGAAGAGAATCAAACCGGACTTGAAGTCGAAGAGAGAAGAGGACTAGTGAGGCTATCATGTCTGCTTCCTGAGAATCGAAGTGGAAGCAGAGCAGGATCTTGGTACGCATTGACCAGGTTATTGTAAAACTCGGGCATTCTTGGATCGTTTTGATCTTCCTTGTCTCTCTTTGTCAACACCTAAGCAGCCACAAAAGAATGAGAGAGTTAAATCCATATACATCTTGTAACTAATTCTCCAGAGACATTTCGCTTTTGTACCTCAGCGGGATAGGCGGTGAATATAGGCATGAAGCGTTTACGACAAAACTCGTTGAAGAGAAGAGTGAAAATGGGAAGAGGGACAAGCAAGTATGTGGCTAGTTCCATCTTCTTGAGAGCAAATAGACCGATCGCGATTGCGTGCATGAGCACAAGAGAGAATATCATCGTATAATGTATCATTGGCCAAAACATCCCTCCTGTTTCATACTTTGGTTCGTACACGTTTATGAACTGCATCCGGAAACGCAATCGAGTGCTTAGTCCTCTCAATGGAAGGAGAAATCTAAAAGGAGTTAAAGAGTTGTGCCATACATACATACCTGGTTCCGGTAGATGATGTATGCGAGTACAAAATAGAGAAGGATGAAAGGAAGAATCAATGGAGCTAAGAAGAAGTATGTAATCCCAAGAAGCCCGAAGAAGACAACTCTTGGAGTGTCTCTGTGGTATCGCATTGGCGGGATAACAAGTTCATCGTCATCTGTCGGTTCAAGTGATCTTTTCACGTAACTAACCATGAAGGGAACTACACGGAAGAGTTCTGTTAGAGTATCTGTCCATCCTGTTGTCACAACATAGGCGATGAAAAATGATGCCTACAAAAATGATGTAAACCAGCAGGTTACAACGATTAAATTTTCCAACCAAGAGTTGTAACTATTGGCATGTGCTAATAAATATAAGAGTATGTGGTAGAAGAAGTTGTTTCTTTACCTGAGCCGGAACAGCCACAGCCAACTTGACCAGAATCTCCTTTGGATCGAAAATTACAGAAAGCTTGTACAAGGCTGAACCGGAGAAAACAGTAGCGAAAAACACATTCCATATTGTGAACCAGATCACTTTGTTGCAAGCACTCTTTTGTATGTCGCTGTGGCAAATGTGCCCTTCAATAGAAGAGAGAAACTCCATGATGGGAGGAACGATCTTCAGAGACGTCTGAAGTATAAGACTTGGGAGGTATCCAGTTATTACTTGACTTACAATTTTCCTGCAACAGAGAGATAAACTAACGTTTAGCAGAATTGAGCTTCTAATATTGTTGAAATGTAATGGGAGCGAGAAATCTTTAACCTACATCGATAGAATCAATGTCAAGAACGGGAAGAAGTATTCTAGTGCAGACAGGTTGGTGAGACCTTGGACAAGTACGACGGGAACAAGGAACAAGGTCGTAAGGAGGAGACAAGCGAACACAATCATAATCTTAGCAAGCCATTTCTGCATAAATGATGCAGAGAAGAAAGGCCAGTGGACGTCATGAGGTTCTGGTGCTGGTTCTGTGAGCCAGTAAGTGGGGTTGATTGATTGTGGCATGTGGAGTGCCATCGCAGCACCATATCGAGTCTTGAATGATACAAAAGCAGCTCGAACTTCCTACACAACGAGAGGAATATGCAAATTAATGAGAAGGAAGAATCCACTACGCAAGTCCTATATAATCATTTTATGCAAGCACTATTATCTTGCTTGCATATCCAAAGGAAACATCTGAGGCATACTTTTCCAGGCGATGAAACCTCAGCTTGTCCCAATCGTATGTTGTGTTCCAATTCTTGTAACATTTTCTCATAGTGACCCTCGGGAGTGTCCTTGCGACTGAAGAATCTTACTATTGGCGTTTTTCTAACTAGAGGAGCATCTGGCTTCTTATGATTCACTTTTTTGTACAACTTTTTGGCATTATCCTGAAAGAGCCAGAGTTGAAAAGAATCATAACCAAGAGATAAAGTTGTAATAGGCCGCGAATAGCATGCACATACAAAGATATACTGCCCAATGGAAGGTAGATTAGCTGTTTCAGGACTTACAACGATACTTCGAAGTTTACTTGTTCGATGGATAACAACATGAGACAGGTAGGTAGAGAAATGATTTTCTCCAAAGAACCTATCAACAGTGTCGCTCACAGTGCTTCCATCTGTAGAGGGGATATTTCGAACTAATATGGTGAACTGATGTGGCTGAGGTTTGGATGAATGGAAATGCTCAATCCTTTTCAAGCCAATATATCTGAATTCCTGTCAAATAAAGACGCTACTAATGACAATCTTGTAAAGAGTCATCACTAATCACCTTGGTATTCAATTCGATAAAATGATATCAGTAACCAGAAGACATGCCTTAAGTCCTTACCAAGTAAAGAAGACAGCAGACAAATGCAGTCACAAGATATATAGCTCCAAAGTGAACCCATAGCCTGCAAGAAACCAAAAAAAGAGCTGGTATCTATATGATCTTTAGCTTTTCATTGAGTAGAGTAGTAATTGCAGTAAACCTAATTAGTTTTTTGGAAGTATTTTCGTTCTTGTCAACTGAGACATGGGTTGATACTAAGCTGCATTATCTACTTCATCTGAGCCATAATAATAATATAAAAGTTTGAGGTTACCATGGTGAGCGAGTTTTGAGGTTTGCAACAGAAAACAGATCCAAAGAATTGGCTGACCAATCAGCGTAGTTAATCTGTATAAGTTGATCTCCGAAGCAGTTGACAGGCAAGAGAACGAAAACCCCAATGATCCCAGCAAACAAGAACACTTTTAAACTGCAGAAAATGAGAGAACAATCACAAACTATGGGAGTATCACAATCCTAAGATAGTCACAAACACCAGAGATACAAATGAAAGTTACCTGAAAGTGATCATTCTCATAAACACAACACCGTCCAGGCCTGAGGATTCCATCAGTTCCTTCTCTGATGGCTTCCATGACTTCCAAATCCAACGCACAGAAGGGATGTACCTTGCCACTTTGTTACGTCTTCTTTTAGACGTCCCTGCAGCGAGCCGGCGTGGTAAAAACACCTCATAGTTGTGTGGCTGTTTCCTCAGTACAGAGTAAAGTATGAAGAACAGTACACATAGGCAAGAGTTTATCCCAACGGACATAAGAAGGGCGGAGACAAGCATCTTGTCGGGACAACTTCAATACCTCGAAAGCTTGTCCAAACTCAGCTCTAGAGCTGCATAATAAATCGAACTTTGCATCAAAGGAAAATTCTAAAGGTAAAGTTTCACATTTTAACCATTAATGATGCGAAATAGAGATTCAGGGTTAGAAGGAAGAAGAAGCTCGTTCCAAATAAGGAAAAAAAAGGATCAACTCAAATTCAAACCAGAAAAGGGATGTGATTTTAGCTTCAGATTAAGTGAGTAATTATATGTATAATAGCTATGAAAATCAAACTAGACCACTCTCTTATCCTCTAACTCACAGAAAACCAGCTTAAATGTTTCCAAGCGTGTGATTGCTAAATACTTTTCTCTAATAATTCTTGATATTCGAAGTTCCAATCACTAAACAACAGAGCAAAGCTATGAAACTAAGAATACAAACGACCAAGTTCGAACAACGGAGCTCAGTTTGTGTATACTGTAATGTGAAGGCTTTGATCAATAAATCAATAAAGACATACGAAACTAAGGTTATAGATACCTCAAATTAAAACACAAAACCCAGATTCTACATTTATCTCCGTTTCTAATAACACACCAACAGGGATAAAATTCGTCATAAATTGTAACTCGAGACGCAAGATGAAAATCGAGAATCGATACAATCTGATTTAAATGCAGAGACAAATCAGTGGCCTTACCAGACCGGAGGATCAAACCTGAGCGTGCGTCTTGGGGACCGCGAAATCGAAGTCCAGACACGCGTTTGAAAGCTTCAAACTCAGTGATCGAAGCAAAACGCAGCACGAATCAGAGAAAACAAAAATCCAGATATTGTATTGCCCATAGATGTGAAAGCAAGCAGAGAGCACAAGTAAAATAGCGAGAAGATTTTTTTAAGTAATGAATATGATGAAATCGACGGTCAAGAACACGATTACCACGCGTTATAGAACACTATAATCTGTATATTATTATCACGGCCAATCATTCAGATTTAAAGCCCTTCCCTCGCTTCCCATTTTGTTTATTGACATTACCTAAATTGCCCTCACTGTGCTCACGAGTTGGGATGAGATCTCGATGCTTGTAGGACTCCGGTAAGGGTATTTCCGTATTTGTATACTTTGGAAAGTCAACGGTTTAGCAACACCGGTCGATGAAGCAATCGCTATTATACATTATACAAAGGTAGTCTTATACAAATCAAATAAACAATAATTGGACTCAAATAAACAATAATTGGACATGTTCTTCAAACCATATATATCTTTTATAGATCTATTATGTGCTGATGATCTAATAACAATACAGCCATCTAAACACAAAAATTATAACTCTTAACATCTAAACTTTAATCAAATAACACCCTAGTCAAACCTATATGCTATTTTGAAAACTATATCTCTGTAATTTACTTTGAAACTTGGATTTTTTTTGTTGTTTTTTTTTTTTCATTTTTGGGATCTTTAAATTGACATAGTAAAGAACTAAAGACATAAAAAAATGGATTTAAGAACGAAACGCAGCGTTTTGAGTCCGGTCTATCTGGGAAGAAGAAGCACTTCTTTGATTCTTTCTGCGATTCAATCGATTTTGTGATCCGAACAACTTCGAATCCAGTATTGCCAATCGAGGACTAGTTTTGGGACTAACTGAAGAAGAAGAAGAAGAAGATGAGCGACGTATTTGAAGGATACGAGCGCCAGTACTGCGAGCTATCAACAAATCTCACCAGAAAATGCAATTCGGCTTCCCTTCTACCCCATGGAGGTTAACAATTCACACTCTTTCTCCTCTCATCTTAGCAAAACGATCTTTATTTTGGTTTCTGTTTATGCATATACCTTCCCTAAACTGCAAAAACCCCATCTGTTCATCTTCCAAAATCAAAATTTGGATTTTTGAGCTTTAACTTGCATGTGATCTAATCAGTTCTGAAACCTATGGAAATTTGAAATCTATCTCCAATTGGATCAAACACCACTATTGCTTGTGTTGGCATCTTCCTGGTGAGATAGAACCAGAGTGGTGATGAATCCGTTACCTGAATTTTGCAGATGAGAAAAAAGGAAAGCTTGGTGAGATCAAATCTGGAATAGATGAAGCGGATGTATTGGTAAACTAGTTTATGCTCTTTACTGTCGAAAAGTCTCTCTCTTTCTCTTGCACAAGATTTGTGATTTACAAAAGGTTTCTCCTTTTTGAAGATCCGTAAAATGGACCTTGAGGCGAGGAGTTTGCAGCCGAGTGCCAAGGCTGCGTGTCTTGCTAAACTAAGAGAGTATAAATCTGACCTGAACCAACTCAAGAAGGAATTCAAAAGAGTTTCGTCACCAGATTCCAATCAAGCTTCCCGTGAAGAGTTGATGGAATCTGGAGCGGCGGATTTTCATTCGGTAAACCTTAATGGTTTCTCTTCTTAATCCTTTCTTTATACTTGATTGACTTGCATGAGCTGCGCTTTTCCCATGACTTTTTGTTGTTTTTCTCTGTGCAAAGAGCAAACTTGAGCTAAATATTTGCTGTTACTTGCCCTTTCAGGTGTCTGCTGATCAAAGAGAGAGGTTGACCATGTCAGTGGAGAGGCTTGATCAGTCTAGCGACAGAATCAGAGAAAGTCGAAGAACCATGTTGGAGACGGAAGAGCTTGGCGTCTCAATTCTTCAAGATCTGAGTCAGCAGCGGCAAACTCTTCTTCACTCGCACAGCAAGGTACACTCCCGAACATTACAGCAAACCACGCATTTTCCATGTGTGAAGTTTGTCTGAATCAGATGGATGAATCAGAAATTACTCTAATTCCATCTATAGCATCAAACTATTAAGGTCTTTGAGGTCAAGACCATTTATGAACCTCTTCACATTTCCAATTTGATCGCAGCTTCATGGTGTGGATGAGGCCATTGACAAGAGCAAGAAAGTTTTGACGGCCATGTCAAGAAGAATGACAAGGAACAAATGGATCGTTACTTCAGTTATCGTTGCTCTCATTCTCGCTATCATCCTGATCATTTCATTCAAACTTACTCACTAATTTTACTCAAGACATGTGTGTATAAGATTATAACAACTTTTCTTGTAATGATCTGGAACTCCTCTCTCCCCAAGTTTCACGTGTATCCCGAACTATGTTATGGCATGTTTACATATAATCATTAGAATGGGTACATTATCTCTCTCTTCTGTCTGAAACTGGAGATGCACAGTTTACATGATTTTAAATCATCAAATTATTCAGTATAATCTAAGCAAAAGCAAAACCCATCTGCAGAAAGGGCAATACTGCTGCCACATAAATCAAATATCCAAGTCTCAGAGAACATGCTTGAAGCCATTGATCTAATGTACAAGTACAACACCCAAAGAAAAGGAAATTGTTTGTTTGGGTTTTGAAAAGAGAGAGTGTGTGTGTGTGTGTGTGTGCGCGTGTGACTGCCTAGGATCTTAGATGACCTTCTTCTTCTCGAAAAACGTCTTCAGGTGCAAAAACTGCATGCCCGCAACTCCTATGCAGACGAATAAAGAGAGGAAACTCAACCATGCCATTTTAGTGTTTGTTGACCGGTTCAGGTCTTGCATCTCTTCTTCCCTGAGGAAGACACCAAATCATGTTACATAAACAGTCTCTTTCTGATACCATCCATAGTGATCAATAGCATCAAAACATCACCAAACAACTGAGAATGTTAAAGTACAAGACTTTACCTTTCTCTAAGATAAAACATCTCTTCATGAATCAAATTGACGGTATCAAGAAGGCTCTTTACCTCGAACTCCATAACCTGCCATAAAATGACCAACACACAAATACATAAGAAGGCGCAAGGTTTTGACACGAAGATCAACAACATTGTTAAATACACAATATAACTAGCCTAACACCACCATATCCATAGTCTCTTTACAAGTCTCAAAACTGGGAGATTCCGTTATCTAAATCGTTCAGCTACAATCTATGAAAGAAATTAGACCATTTTCTAAGAAGTCTAGATTATGAGTTGTTAGGAAAATGAAGGAGTGAGTCAAATGGCAGAAACACACTCATCCACCACACAAAGAAGAAGAGAAAGAAGAAAACGAAAATGGAGCTTACTTCGATTTGGCTTTTCTTGGCAACAGTAGCCCAGCTTTTGGATTGAACACCCGTCCTCCACTCAAATTCAATGCTCAGCGAAACCTCAGGCTTATGATCGACGGCAGAGAAGCAAGCCATGTAATCCCCTGCTTCCACTGCCGAAAACGCGAATTGCCCTGAATCCACTTGATCCGCGTGATGGTATGTGTTCCCGGAGCTTGACGTTACCTTTTATAAAATCGCACGCGTAAGAAATCAGATCTTTCCCCAAGAAAAAAATCGGAAATTTTAGATCGAAATCAGACGAATCCGCGTACCTTGACGGAGATCTTGTGAGATGGAGGCAAATTCTGGCCTTCGTGAGGGTTATCGATGCTGTACTTTCCAACAGTCATGGAATTGCTCTTGATGTCTTCGGCGATACACTTTGTGCGACCTGAATGCAGATCGAAGTGCAGCGAGTGTGAAACTCGAGACCAAATCCCTAGAATCAAAAGCACCGTCCATAGTTTTTGGGAACGGAGCAACATTTTCGAAAATTCGGAGAATTCAGAATCTTCCTTTCTCCTTTGCTTCCTCCTCGATCGTTTCGTTCATAGAGACGAAACACGCGTATACGTTGATTCTGAAAACCTTCTGTCTAGTTTAGAGGTTTTACCCCAACATACAAACCGGTCCAAAAATATTAAATTCTTCTCACAAGACCCGGTTTGGTATAGCATTATGTGATCCTTGCGTCTCAAGGTATCGAGAGTGGTTGGGTAAATTTGTGTTATAAATTTCCTTTTTCTTCTTGCCTTTTTGTTTATAACAAAAAAGGAAAATTTGGAGTGAGTTTCGAAGAAGAACATCATCTATAAATAGAGAGTTACCTGAGCCTTCAATGATTATTCTTCATCTTTACTACCAAAAAAAAAAAAAAAAAGCTGAGAGAATGTCAAAAAAGATTCAGGAAGCACTTCGTTACTGTGAAGAGAACTTTGAGAAAGGAAACCTAGAACTTGCATTAAAGTGCGCAGTCTCAGTCGCTCTGGCGAATCCAAAAGAGCCTGAACCTTACGCACACGTCACGGCTTACAGAATCCTTCTCACGGCAGCAAACCATCGAACGGTCACAGGAGAGCCTGACTGGTACGCCGTGTTTGGAATCAAACGCGGAAATAAGTCCTCCAAGTCGGTGGCGAAATCCGTTGAGAGGCGGTGCTTGGAGATCATCGAATTGTTGAACGGCGAGACTGTGACTTTCAAGGCGGCTTCTGGAGTCTATGGTCTGGTCAGCCGAGGCTTTGAAGAGTTGAAGAACGAAGATAGAAGAAGAGCATATGATCAACGTTCTGGATTTCTCTTGTAAACTACCATTCTTTTAGGTCAATTTATTTCGAGTACAGTTCAAGAGTTAAATGTAAACTCTCTACTCTACGTCTTGTATTAGGTCAAATTTAAACATAGAAAAGACTCTTGATCAATTTAAACAATGTAAAAAATCTTCGTCCATGTTATAATGTATATGTTTTGTTCTCTATACTTTTTCCTTTGGATTCATGTTATGGTTTTAACAATAATATGGTTTTTACACATTGAGTAGGTTCACTGGAAAAAAATACAAACTTCTCCTATTAAGGCTATATTTATAGCTTATATATCGGTATTATTTTGGCAGTGAATCAAATAATATTATTATGATAGAGCTCAGTCGTCTTTGTCATCAGAGTCGTCATCGTTATAATAATGGAAAGGATGTGGAACCGACTTGAAGGCTCTGTATTTGCCCACATTGTTCAAGTGCTCATTCTCCAACCTGACAAAATTTAACTCCACATTACTAATCATTATAATTCTATTATCAAAAGTTGGAACTATGTATACAGAAGGGTGTGTTACCTGAAGAAGCTCCATATTCCCCGACGAACAATCTCTAAACATGAAATAATGGTTGATACTGCGATTCTGTGAAGGGACTTCAAATTAAACTCCAGAACCAGCTGCATCCATGCCACTCTTAGTATCACATTGACTACCTGTCAAAACACAACAATATCATATTCAACCAGTTTCTATATCCGAATCCTCTGATATTTGTATAGTGTTAATTACCATGGCTGCAAAATAGACGCTTTTGTGGGGGACAAGGAGTTTGTCTCTCAGGTATGGGTTCTTGGAATTCTTACGGAGGAGTCCCCAGTCTATAACAATATCCCAGAATGTGTTCATACCCGCTGCAACACCTGAGCTTATAAGAGCCAAAATCATCCAATTTCGTCCCTTCTTCAGTTCAAAAGCTGTTCTTATGATGACCGCAATGATTGTCAACATGTATTTCAGAGCATTGTATCCGTGTATGGTATCCTTTTCTTCGCATGCTCTGCGTATGCACTGAAAAAAAAAATTACATGTGAGTTATAGATTCGGATGTGATAGACAGTACCAGTGAAGGCAGAAGAGACTAAAATTGTGTTGATACCTGGACGAAACGGAGCCAGTAAGGTATAAGAGCAACAACAAAGTAGAAGGCATTGTAAACACCATGACTATGACACTTGTTTTGCCTCTGCAAGTATTCTCCTAAGCCATAGTAGCAAATAAATAGCTCAAAACTCCGTATGGCTTGTACCTGAACTTACCAAAACAAATTACAACAGCCCATATTATTCCGAGTCATTTTCTTGTCAAACAAGAAAGATTAATGCTAGTAGAAAACGAGAACCTGACTGGTTAGTTGGTCTGCCAAGAAGAAATCTGGAAGTGTAACCTGTGATAATTTAAAAGAACAAAAACATGAAGGTGGGATCTTTTGCTGTAATGATTCTAACGATTCGTACATTATACAATTACCTCGTAGAGAGGGGCACAAATGCAGTGAACCAGTGTTCGAATGAAGAACAACCGACTTGAGCGGTATATGATGTTGAAAGGACAAAAAAGTATGCAAAGAACAATCTGCAAACAAAAAAGGCTTGTTTAATTCTAAAACGACTGCACAAAATGTAAACACTAAAAAAAAAAATCGTACAGTGACTAAACCCAAAGGAATAACTTCAGGGAGTGTCTTTTGATCTTTTATCCTCCAGTCCATATCAAGCTGCAAATTTATCAGGAAGCAGATAAAAGCAAGCACCGCAAGACCGGTGCTTAGCAGGAAAACTTCTCTGTAACCTAACTCCGTTCCCTGCTTGAAACCAAAGATGAAGGTATAGTTGACTCTATAACGTCTCCAGAAGTATATATTTGCTGAGTACATGAGCATATGAAGAATGATGTATCCAAATAAGCTGCAAGAGATGAAATGTTTGTGGGTGTGAGACAAAAAAGACCTGTTTTTCTATTTTACAAACACATGTTTTTGAGTGATAGATTATAATCAATAATTGATTGCCTGTAAAGGGGGATAATATTCGCCATGTATTCAGTACCGAAGTCCTTCTCCATGATATTTCTATTTTCTATCTTGAAAACAACAGCAACAATTAGTGCAAGTGAGCAACCAGAGAAGAAACCTGTGAGAAGTTGAAGAACAATTATCAGAGAACGGAATGTAACATCTTTGAAACCCGGACTCTCTTTTTCTCGCACATTCCCTTACCAGAGAAGAATGTAATCCTGTGCCATTCTCTTTTAACTTTTGGTCTTAGAAACTGCATGCCTTCTCTTCGGTTTCCGTTCGCAAAGTGCTTAACGAAAGTTATCTCTACTCTCTCCAGGAGTCTGTTAATCTAAATCAGGAAACAGTGAACAAAAAAAGTTGATGTACAAACATTACGGAAAACTGATTTTGAAGTCTAAATTACTCCACAAACCTCATCAGAAATCCCAATAAATGAATTATCCACAGTTTTCATGTAGTTCCTGAAAGCATTCCTTGAAGCAATCTACACATCATTAGGAAAATGAGAACATTGCTCATGCATTTATTTTGCTCTGCAGTCTTCAGTAACGAATCTGATCATTAGAAGAAACTCTTATATTACCTTCTCGTACTTCTTCATGATCTTTGAAAATGCCAGAAGATTCATGAAACTGATTGAAATTACACAAACATACACAAATCAGTAACACGGAAATGTAAAAGAAAGATTGCCTGAGAAACTGAGCTTTTGGCTGGACGACCTCCTCACCTGTATTCCTTGAGACGGCGGAGTTTCTGATAAAACTCACTAAAAACAAGCCTCAACTGTTCCTCTGCTTTTTTTAATCCTTTCTTGGAGATTGGTTCATCATTTTTCGAATCCCCAAAAACACCTTTCAATGTAGACATGGGAGATTCAAGCGCATCATTCATCTTCACACGCGCTAGTATTTCACGGAGATCCTGCTTAACATCAGAACTATCTTCCTCGTCGCTCTCATCATCAATATGAGTAATCGGGACAATGTCAGGCAGGATATGGAAAGCCTCTTCTGGAATGCTATCTCTGTCAATACCATGTACCATATCTGAGTTCGAGCTGCCTGCAAATATTTCAAGTTTTTCAGTACATCTGAGCATAAGATGCTTCTGATAAAAAAAACAGTCTTGTCATATAAGCTTACCCAGTGTTCTCATTGTGCTATCAGATGGATCTACTACGACCTTATCGGAGGGATGCTTCTCCAAATTCATGATATATGAATCAGGTGTCTGCACCTTGACCCGCAAAGCAATCAATGCATCCATTTGTTTATCCAGCAAAGCCGCTTCCTCAAGCACTTCATCAACTTTGTCCCGGTAAAATCTGTTGACTTTGTTCAGATTCTCATCGAGCTTTCTGAAGAAGGTTTCTTCGAATTCCCCTCCTTCTTCAGATTTCTTTAGGAACTTAGTCTTGTACAACTTACGAGAATCATCTTGCTGCACAGTGTCGACTTTAATGACTTGCTCCTCAATGTCCCCTGCATGTTCGCTGTTGCTGGGATGGTAAGAAAGGCCACTAAACGAACGGTGCAAGGCTTCTGCCTGCTGCGACACTCTCGAGGCTGCTCTACTCAGCCTACTGTATTTGTAGCTACGTATCTCTTTCAGATTCCTCTTCAATCCATTGTAGTCCATGTAAGCTTCTACCCACTCGGGCACCATTTGCTTCTTAAATATTTTCCCAAACTTCATCTTCTTTTGCAGCACAATCCAAACCAAATCGATGCTTATCACAAACTTCAACAAGAAAAAAACTATAGTGAGACATTTGAGAAACACACAGGTAACTCAAAATTTCCATAATAGTTAGAAGAGTACTAAGGATCAAATCACAGATGCAGCTAGAAATTAGCAGAATCTAGGGTTCTTATCGTAGTTACATTCCACCCAATTTAGAAATATAACCATACTTTTCGACATGCGACTATCAAATAATCGATCAACAATCTATAAGAATCTAGGATACTAGAGAAGTAGAATACAGATTGTGGAATCCATAAGAAAAGCAAATAAGCATAAAATTCGAAATCGATTTCTAAATGTGTAGAGTCAATAGTGACTGATCGTACTCGTACAGAGCACGAAACTCCATGATTACCTTGGTACCGAAGAAACGAAAGAGGAAATTAGAAACCGCTTAATTAAGAGCTTCTCTGCAATTTTACGCCATTGACGAAGAGGAAGGAGACGTCGCTACTTGAAACGCCTCTTACTTACTCTCTCTGACTCTCTCTCTCTCTCGCTCGCTTTACTGTCGCCGAGTGACACTAATATGGTGTGTACGGCAGGAGATCGTCTGCGGCTGAGATCATGATTTAAGAAATTTTTCTTTCTTCCACAGCCGTTGGATCACTCTGCGAGTAACCTGCCACGTGACCACCGTTAGATGGATTGCGTGTTGTTCATCTTTTGCGGCCGAAACCGGTGGACGGAAGCAAATCAATTCTATACTGACTGGTTTGACCAGTTAGTGGGCCCACCCAGAGCGTGACACGTGTGGCTCCGTAAGCTCCACCGTGGAGTAAAACCGCGAAATTTGTCACTATGATACCATTTTAGTCTTTAAACCAATCAAACTAGAAAGTCAAACAGACAAAATATTGGGGCCATCTATGCCAAGTTTTTCAAAAAAGAAACTTGAATGGTCTTAAAGAAGTTCATGTTCAAACAAAGCAAATATAACATATTGATTCATCCAAGATGATATGCCCATAAACATAATCGAGTAAGTATACGTCGTATCCCTTGAGTCATCCACTAAGACACAACATATGATTTTTTCACTCTCTTCGAATCCAAATTTAGCAAAGCTTAATCTCATAATCAATTGTACTCTCTGCCCATATATTATCTCTATATTAGTAAAACTTATGGTTACCATGGACTTTTAACTTTCGGCCTATATGTATCAAATATTAAGTTTTATAGATTAGAGAATTAATTGGCAATTATGTCATGTGCTTATATAATATTGTAGTTTCAATCACATTTTTAATGTGGGATTTCTAACACAGCTCTTCAAAATAATGATAATTCTTCTGATTCTATTCCGAACATAATCCCACTAAAATAACAATACATTTTACTTGGACCATTACTTTACTTGGATCAAACTTTGTTACACTAATGAAATGCCTCTTTTTTTTTGTCATGTAAAGAATTCCTTCTCTTATTCTATCACGACAAAATCCATTCTTTTAAGTCATGCAAATAGAAAAATAATTTAGTAAAGCTTAGCAAAGAAGCTAGAGATTATGGTGACGACTTGATTAATCATAGTCACCTCATTAATAATTTGGTTTACTAAATTTAGAGCTTTAGGTTGCGTCATCTCATCCTAATCTTTTTCAATCCTATATTTTGTTTTTTCTCTGCGTCATGTCCTATATAATAGTAAGTAACTGGCTTGGTGATATACAATATGAAAATGATTCATGTGCCATTTCTATTATAGTATAATTTAGGTATACTTGACAAAGCCTTTTGAGGTTCTCTAATTGGTTAAAATAGCATTTTCAGATTATTCATTAACAAAATAGTTTCTCACAATTTTCCAATTTAGTTAAAAAAAATCGTCGGAGAATTCTCTTCTATGTGTTTTTATTGTTGTGTAGAAACCGAGGAGATAAATGGCCACGTCTTATGCATCTCCTATATATCATCAAAGGTTAGATCGAATATGAAGACACAAATTTTGTAACTTGTTCATATAAATATGTGGTAATTGTTATCAATACGGTTTTCTACTTTATGAATCTCAATTTAACTCAAAAAGTACAAAAAAAAATGTGAAACTACTGTCTATTAATTTAAATATGAAAAATCGACATGGGTTTATAGTTTTTTTGGTAATTAAAAGTGTTTATAGTTGCAAAGTTAAAACGATAAAATAAACCAGAAGAAACCAAGTTTTATACAAAGGTAATCATAATTCATAATACTAAAAACAAAATACAACCGATGGAAAAATAGTTGCCACTTTAAGCTGGAACGTTTCTTGGCATTCTAATAATTATACAAAAACCTTTTTCCGGAAACTTGTGTCCGATCTGAACTCAGCGTGTGCAGTTGTTCTTGACAAATGGTAGTAAACAAAGATTTAGTTATCCAATTAAGGAGTGGTAATGACACTATTAGATAAGAGCAGGCGTAATTAGTGACATCTAATTATTTTTAACTCATAAATCCGCCGTGGCGCGTTGCCCTCCACAATCCTTATCCCTAATGACTATTTACGTGAAAATAACACGTCATCAAGAACAAAAAAAATGGACCCTGGCCTTATAGTGTGCCACGTTTCTTTTCCAAAATTGACAAAGAACGGTCTTCACATTTCTTCTGCACATTTTATTTTGTTGTTGTTGTTTTATACAAGTTCTTTAGTACTTCTCCATTTGGATTCCTAATTTCCTATGGCTATAATTATTCTGGAAGTGCATATTATTATTAGATTAAAAATTTGTCAGCAGTCAAAATATAAGATTTAACAAGATAAATCAGATTATAATGAACAATACGACATATTTTACGATCTTGATTTTTTTAAAACATAATTAATTATATAACAGCAGGAAATTTAATAAGAATTGCAAGTTAAAAAGTTATAACTAAAATATCTACGTATGTATTAGAGATGCAATATAGAGGCATATGAATATGATCCCCATAAAATGGATGTTGATATATATATTTTTGTCTTGTAATAAAAGCTATATAGTGCAGATAATAATGGTTACATGACTTTTTGATAGTTGGGGTGATGTATCATGTATGGAAAGGATGGACAAAGATAGGAGGAAAGCAAATAAAGAAGAATGAAGAACGAATATTTGGGGAAATAGGACAAAAGAATATACTTCGGTTTGAAATGGAGATTCACCTAAATACTAATACTAAAGCCATGCAATGCAACCGAACAAATCAGTGGTCAAGCGCACTCAATTATATGTTCCTCTCTTTAACCAAAAAAAAATATTATATGTTCCTCTCTTTTTTTGAGCAATATGGCCTCTCTCTCTCTTTTTTTTTTTTGAGCAATATGTCCTCTCTCTCTTTTTTTTTTTTGAGCAATATGTCCTCTCTCTCTCTTTTTTTTTTTTTTTTGAGCAATATGTCCACTCTTCTCTTTTACGAAGAAGCCCCTTTAGAATATCCACAAGTAAAAAGCTATTTTCTACACTATCCGATCATTCTCACTTATTTGGTTGGTACATCTGTGATTTTTACATAAAAGTAAATACTGAGTTCACGTTCATATGAAATAAATAAATATCGTCGAATAATACTTTTTTCCTTTTTAGATCACATGATTTTCATGAAAAAAGAAAACATTATCTAACTCAAATTCCTTTTTAAGCTCTTTTAACCGTGACTGCTCTCTGTTAGACAAATAGAATATATATAATTCCAATCTCCCAATATTATATGGAAGAAAAACAATAATAGGTGACTAGAGAGTAGAGATAATGGATAGGACTACGAGAAGGACATTCAGAGTACAAAATTAATTATTATTTCAATCGCAATGTACCAACCAATAAGAAAGAAGTGACGCACACTAACCGACAAGAATACTCAAGCATATAAACCCTCACCTTCTCAGCTTTTTATCATTTCATAAACACCAGCCAAAAAAAAAAAAAACACAGTTTCTGTCCAATAATCATGGAAGCAAATTCAAGTTCTAATCTCCCTCCAGGATTCAGATTTCATCCTACCGACGAAGAGCTCATCGTTCACTATCTCCGAAACCAAACCATGTCCAAACCATGCCCTGTCTCCATCATACCAGAAGTCGATATCTACAAATTTGACCCTTGGCAATTACCCGGTTCGACCCGGTTCTTTATTTCTCATTACAGTTGTTTAATCTCAATTAGTCACGGTGATGATTTTTAACACTCTGTATTTTTGCTTTTTCGTTATGAATTTGAAACAGAGAAAACAGAGTTTGGGGAAAATGAGTGGTACTTCTTCAGCCCGAGAGACCGGAAATATCCAAACGGAGTCAGACCAAACCGGGCTGCTGTTTCCGGTTATTGGAAAGCAACCGGTACAGACAAAGCCATTCACAGTGGCTCGAGTAACGTGGGTGTGAAGAAAGCTCTCGTCTTCTACAAAGGTCGACCTCCCAAGGGAATCAAAACTGACTGGATCATGCATGAGTATCGTCTCCACGATCCACGTAAACCATCGACAAAACGTAACGGCTCGATGAGAGTAAGCACACGAAACGAAAACTATATATAGCTCAAATTTGTTAACAATGTTAAATTAAGTTTTTGATATATTTTGCAGTTAGATGAATGGGTATTGTGTAGGATATACAAGAAGAAAGGAGCAGGGAAGCTTCTGGATGAAAAAGAAGGTTTCATGGATGAAGTACAAATCGAAGAGACGTTAACAGTTGTTACGAACGAAGCAGAGAGAAGAAATGAGGAAGAGATAATGATGACGTCGACGAAAATTCCGAGGACGTGTTCGCTTGCTCATTTGTTGGAAATGGATTACATGGGACCCATCTCTCACATTTTAACACCGTTCGATCTTCATCATCCTGATTATTCGGACAGTATGAATATGAACCAGTCTGGTTGGTTCGGAGGAGATCAACAGATTAACCAAGAAGAGGTCTTAAACCATCATTGTCAAGCTATGTTTCAGTTTTAGTGATGGGTTTAGTAAAAAAGAAGAGAAAAACATGAAAGCCCCCAAAAAAGATTTGCTTGGAAAGTTTGGTAGATATTTTTCCTTAGTTTGGGTATAGGAAAATTGTTAAATATTAACTAAAAAGACCCAAATGGGGATTTTATAGTTTCTCCAATGTGAAACCAAAAACATGTTTAATTAATATTAAGCTGCTTCAGCGTGTTTAGACGAAGTCATGGAGTTTATTTAACATTATGCTAACTAATAAACAAAAGACTCTTGTAATATTCGATGTTTTCTGAGAGATACAAAAGAGATTACGTTAACTTGGAATGAAAAAGTCGATGGCGTGTGGAGGAACCTACGCCAGATGCAATGCATTTGGGTTACTTATCTTTGTCGTTTTCGTTATATAACGAATGTTAACATGTCATCATCGTACTTTAAACCTCATTTTTTTGATTCGGTCTGCGCAGACTCAAACTTAATGGGAAGAAAGGGACTTATCATAAAATAAGACGTTTCAAAAAAAAATGTAGGCCCTTTTCTTGACCGGTTTTTGTGTACCAATACGGTTTATAAAAACCAAGAGACCATACACACTAAAGAAGTGAACCATTTCTACAAAGAAGGGCAATAAAAAAAAAAAGATTGTTAGCTAAGTAGTAGATTTATCACATGCTTTGGCTGATTTATAAACAAACCATATAGAGATATAAAAACTCCATGAACCTTCTGTAGTCCTTATTTTTCATATACAAAGAAACAATCCAAAAAAAATGTCAATATGGATCGTTCTGGCTTGCATGGTGACATCATGGATCTTCTTGCACCGTTGGGGACAGAGGAAGCAGAGAGGTCCAAAGACTTGGCCTTTGGTCGGAGCAGCGATCGAGCAGTTGACTAATTTTGACCGAATGCACGATTGGCTCGTTGAGTATCTCTATGACTCAAGAACTGTAGTTGTCCCAATGCCATTCACTACCTACACATACATAGCAGATCCCATAAATGTTGAACACGTCCTCAAAACCAATTTCTCAAATTACCCAAAGGTGCAAAAAACTAAACTCCTTCACCAAATGTATAATACAATAGTGTTGTTTTGTCAATTTCACTTATGTTTTTGTGTTACAAGGGAGAGACGTACCATTCGTATATGGAAGTTCTTTTGGGAGATGGGATTTTCAACTCAGATGGTGAGCTCTGGAGGAAACAGAGGAAAACTGCAAGTTTCGAATTTGCTTCCAAGAATCTCAGAGATTTCAGTACTGTAGTGTTTAAAGAGTATAGCCTCAAGCTCTTCACCATACTTTGCCAAGCATCTTTCAATGACCAACAAGTAGATATGCAGGTAATAAAAAGAGTCCATAAAACCAAATCTTGATATTTTCTCTTTTCTTATATCCCTTTTCTTGATATTTCTGGCTCTAGGAATTGTTGATGAGAATGACTCAAGACTCCATATGTAAAGTGGGATTTGGTGTGGAGATAGGGACATTGGCTCCAGATTTACCAGAGAATCGCTTTGCTAAGGCTTTTGACACTGCGAATATAATCGTAACACTACGTTTCATAGATCCTCTTTGGAAGCTGAAGAAGTTCCTTAACATAGGCTCTGAGGCATTACTTGGCAAGAGCATAAAAGTAGTAGATGATTTCACGTATTCAGTCATTAGAAGAAGGAAAGCAGAGATATTAGAAACACAGAAATCCCCTGCCAACAACAATAAGGTAAGAAAAAGAAAAAACTGAAATGTATGCACTTGTCACAAAGTATCAATTTTTTTTCTCTAAAATCCTAATGCAACAGGTGAAACATGATATACTCTCGAGGTTCATTGAGATCAGCGACGACCCTGAAAGCAAAGAAACAGAGAAAAGCTTAAGAGACATTGTCCTCAACTTTGTAATCGCTGGAAGAGATACAACAGCAACAACTCTCACTTGGGCTATATACATGATAATGATGCATGAACAAGTCGCAGAGAAGCTTTGCTCAGAGCTAAAAGAACTCGAAAGAGAAAAAGCAGAAGAGACTAAAACACCGTTGCACCATTACGATACAGAGGATTTCAAGTCTTTCAACGAGAGGGTAACACAATTCGCAGGACTGTTGAACTACGATTCCTTAGGAAAGCTACACTACTTACACGCCGTGGTAACAGAAACACTTCGTCTCTACCCTGCGGTTCCTCAGGTAGTTACACCATTAAAATCCATCAAAATTTGAATTTAAGGCAACAAAAGAAACATATTTTAAACATGTTTTGGATCATATATATTGTAGGATCCAAAAGGAGTATTAGAAGATGATATATTACCTAATGGAACAAAAGTAAAAGCAGGAGGGATGGTTACATATGTTCCTTACTCAATGGGTCGTATGGAATACAATTGGGGATCAGATGCGGCGTCGTTTAAACCCGAGAGATGGCTTAAAGATGGAACCTTTCAAAACGCATCTCCTTTCAAGTTCACAGCTTTTCAGGTACACAATCAAACGTTGTATATAAAACACATGCACATACAAGAATTTTGATGGATATAACAACACGAGTTTTGTGTGAAATTATGCAGGCTGGACCTAGGATATGTTTGGGAAAAGATTCAGCTTATCTTCAAATGAAGATGGCAATGGCGATTCTTTGCAGATTCTATAAGTTCCATTTGGTGCCAAATCATCCTGTCAAGTATCGAATGATGACGATCCTTTCCATGGCGCATGGTTTGAAAGTTACTGTATCTAGACGTTCATAGACAAATAAAAAGAAAAGAGTAGAACAATAAAGGGGAAAGTAAAATCCTTGTGAAATGATCCAAGATGATAAATATGAGTCTTTTGTGACTATTTTGTTCTCAAACCACCAAATAAGATCAACTTTATAGAGTAATGGAAAAAAAATTGACCTTTTAGTAACGAAATCTCAATCAAATTTTTAAAAAACTTTGAATCTCTAATGATAACCGAATCAAAGAAAAATACTAATGATTTGGTAAACTCAAGAAAAATTCCCTTTTCAAGCAGTGATTAAGGGAATCTTGATAAGTTGGAAAATTCGGCCCAATAAGGCCCAAATCTCTGACTTATGAGAAGGAGAGAATATTTGCTGCGTTAAGTTGAAGCATCGTCATCGTGGAACGTGCAGCTCCGGGAAAGATAAACAACACTATAAATCCACTAGATCGGATCTGTCCCGGTTCTCGTCGGAATCTCTTCACGGTAACCGGCGTTCTTCATCCACCTCTACTTCAGGTAAATGGTTTCACTGAACTCTGTTCCCTATTGGTTTACTTCTTCATCTTCTTCTTCTTGTTGATTTTTCCTGATTCATGTTCCGAGTATGCTTGAACAATCGTAAATTTAAATTTCTAGTGTGATTTAGAGTCATATTTTAGATCTTGATTGAATTTCGGTTTCTCCATCACTGTATCACTAGGAAGTTTTTGAAAACGAGAGTGGACTTTTTCCATGGTTTTGATTTTGTAGTGAGAAGAACAAGATTAGATGTGTAGTACTATGCTCTTACTGTATTAACATAGAATTTTGAAACATACAGTTATGGAAGACGTCAAGGGCAAGGAGCTTATTGATGATACTCTGACTGAAAAGAAGGTTTCTAATGAACAACAACCATCATCTGAGCCTGAGGTAAATTTTGAATCTTTTGCTATTGGAGTTAGCATTTTAGAGTTTTAGTGTTCAGGGACATTGTAATGATCATTTTCTATATTCACAAGTCTGTCCCTTTTTTTTAGTTTTGACTCATTCTTCTCATTTGGTCATTTGTTGGTATAACTATAGGAAAATGCGATCAAGCAAAAGTATGGAATGTTGCCAAAGAAGATCCCTTTGATATCCAAGGTAGCTTTTGTTTCACCATTGATACATATAAAAACTATTGATTTCATAACCCTTCTCTTCCATAATCTCTCCATTAGAAAAGCTAATTTCAGCTTGTATTCATGTTGTTTTCATTCAAGGATCATGAGCGTGCGTTTTTTGACTCGGCTGATTGGGCTTTAGGCAAGGTGATTCTTTGCAAATACCAACTATCCTTGAATCTTATTTCTATGACTGTCTCTTTTCTATGTGGTGTGCTGTTTTACAAAAGAGTTAAAACCACAAGCAAATGACTTGAAATTTGCCATTTTTAATCAGCAAAAAGGACAAAAGCCGAAAGGACCTCTGGAAGCCCTCCGCCCAAAACTGCAGGTAAAGTGAAAAATCTTCTTTCTTTTGCTTCTACATTTGTTTCTTCTTTGTCTCTTTGAAACTAATATATCTCTGTTCATGCAACAGCCAACACCGCACCAGCAACCAAGAGCGAGACGAATGGCTTTAGCTTCAGGCCCTGAAGGTGACATTTTTAGATATATACGAATCCACAAACCTTGTTTTCTTTGATTCCATTTGTCATTCAACGAATCTCTTTTGAAATCTTGTGAAATCAGACTGTGAGACTGACAACAACGAACCTCTCGATGACCAAGCTTGCGCATCACCTGTTAACGATGCTAACTCAAAGGATGATGGCAGCAGCGGCGATGGTGACGTGAAAGACAGTATCAAATCGTGAACAAACATTATAGATCTCTCTTGAGGAGCAACAACAAACAACACCACAAGTCAATTTTACAGAAGAATAAGCGACCAGGATTGTTTTGCAATCGGTTGTAATATCGAGTCTATTACATTTATCATACTTGCAAATCTGTATCACATACGAACCTCGTGGTTTTGAATGTCTATTGATTGCAAAATGGTTTGCTTTAGTGATCCATCAAAGCCCTCTTCTTAATCAAAATGGTTTGGTTTATATATTCATCTGAAAATCAATCTTGCAATCTCTCAAATTGCTGCTGATTGCTGATAAAGTAGAGACTAAGTCAAGGAAATCGAAAGTCGCAGTAGTCAGTAGACTCATTCACAATATACTCATTTTCTCACTTATCAAAACAAAATTAATTAGTTTTTTTAATTATATTTGACTTTTTAAATTCTGCATATTCTTTTGTATTGGTTGCATTATATTGGAAATGATAAAAATTGAAGTTTAGTATAGGAAATGGTATCAATTAAATGTTTAGTGTACAATGTTAAAACATCATTTATTTCATAACGGGGGAGGAAGTACATTTTACCTTCTAAAATATCGGGATTCGAAGTAAGATTACAAAATTGATATTGGAATAATCAACTAATTCAAATAGTCAGACACAGTATTAAGTACCCATATGTTTACTAATTAGGCCGTGCTACACACGCGCGTAAAACAATTGACCATTTGACACGTGTGATGCCAGTCTCCGTCTGAGTCTCACTCTCAGTCAAAATCCTTCTCCGGCAAGCAAAAACCCTTCAACGTCGAGAAGCTCAGAAGCATAACTCAAGTTCAGATTTTTCCGACGAACCCGTAATTGACACCGCTTGAAAAACCCGACTTGGTCTTTCGATTTTATCTTTTGATATTTGCGAAGATGATCTCTGAAGCTAGCTCTTCGAGAGCAAAGGTCATAGATCAGGTTATTGGGATGGATTTTCCGGAGGAATCCGTGATAAAAGCTGTACAAGATCATGGTATCGATTAAAAAAATTTGCTCTTTTCTTCCAAAGAATTTGGAGAATCTTTAATGTAGCTTTGTGAACCATCCTTGATAATATGCAGGAGAAGAAAATGTAGACGAGATATTTGCGAAGATGAGCTCTGAAGCTAGTTCTTCGAGAGCTAAGGTCATTGATCAGTTTATTGGGATGGGTTTTCCGGAGGAATCGGTGATAAAAGCTGTACAAGATCATGGTATCGATTAATCTTTTGGCCCTTTTCTTCCAAAGAATTTGGAGAATCTTTAATGTAGCTTTGTGAACTATCCTTGATAATATGCAGGAGAAGAAAATGTAGACGAGATAACGAACGCACTTCTGAAAAATGCAGTAAGTAGATATTTGTTGCTTCCGAGTTGTTTTCTAACTTACTTCTTTTGTGCTTATAGTTTCCTTGTTTGTAATCTCATGGCATCTGTTTGATATTTGCTAATCATGTGATTTGATACATTCAATTTTTCATTGTGTAGACAAGCTCTGAAGCTAGTTCTTCGAAATCTAAGGTCATTGATCAGTTTATTAGGATGGGTTTTCCTGAGGAATCGGTGATAAAAGCTATACAAGATTATGGTAATGATGAATCTTTTGCTCTCTTTTTTTTTCCAAGAAACTGGGAGAGTTTTGATGCAGCTTTCTGAACTGTCCTTGATGATATGCAGGAGAAGAGAATATAGAAGAGATAACAAACGCACTTCTGAATAATGCAGTGAGTAGATACTCGATAACTTCCAATTGTGTACCTACTTTTCCATGACGTTTTTCCATCTGTTGCTTCTGAATTGTTTTCTAACTTGTTCTTTTGTGTTCATAGTTTGCATGTTTGTAAACTCATGTCTGTTGATATTTGCTAGACTTGTAATTTTGACTCCATTCTATGTTTATTTGTGTAGACAAGCTCTGAAGCTAGTTCTTCAAATTCTAAGGTCATTGATCAGCTTATTAGAATGGGGTTTCCTGAGGAATCGGTGATAAAAGCTGTACAAGATTATGGTAATGATGAATCTTTTGCTCTTCTTCCAAGGATTGGGAGCATTTAATTGCAGCTTTCTGAACTGTCCTTGATAATTTGCAGGAGAAGAGAATATAGACGAGATAACGAACACCCTTCTGAATTATGCAGTGAGTAGATACTCGTTAACTTCCAATCTTCTACCTACTTTTCAATGACGTCTTTTCATCTGTTGCTTCTGATTTGTTTTCTAACTTCTTCTTTTGTGGTCATAGTTTCCTTGTTTGTAAACTCATGGCATCTGTTGATGTTTGCTAGACATGTAATTTTAACTCCAATCTATGTTTCATTGTGTAGACAAGCTCTGAAGCTAGTTCTCCAAAATCTAAGGTCATTGATCAGCTTATTAGGATGGGTTTTCCACATGATTCGGTGATAAAAGCTATACAAGATTATGGTAATGACATATCTTTCGCTCTCTTTTATTTTCCAAGAAAGTGGGAGAAATTTGATGCAGATTTCTGAACTGTCATTGATGATATGCAGGAGAAGGGAAAATAGAAGAGGTAACAAACGCACTTCTGAATAATGAAGTAAGTAGTAACTCCGACTATTCCGTATTATAAAAATTAGAATTTTCATGTATTAATCGCTAGTTACTGTTTTGCAGGAGGCAGAGAGCACCAACAACAACAGCAACTTATCAGATAATAATGGTGACTCAAATCATTACTCAGGTCTATCATCTTCAGATGAAGAGGTATATATACTATTTTTTCCTAGTTTAAGACTTTTCCTTACTTGCTCGGCTGTCTAATTTTCTCTACATTCTTTTCGTTTCAATGCATTTTACATTTTGTAGAGGAAGGTTGTACAACATTGACTTCTTATCTGCTTTGGAAAATTGCAGAATGAAATAAACTACCCCCACGAAGAAGGTAGATTGCAAGCATTGATAAAAATGGGCTATCCAAGGGAAGAGGCTTCTATAGCTATAGAGAGATGTGGTAACCTCTCGGTAAACTATTATATCATGATACATAACAGTATTTCTTGTTTTTCTATCCATATCTGTTATATGCTATAGAGAGATCTGATCCTGCTATATGTTTATATTTATTTCTCTCGTCGATGCAATTAGTGTCCTTGCATTCGTGTTTCTTCTCAAACCTTTCAGGAGAAAATGCAGGTGTTGCAGAGGTCGTTGACTTCATCTTTGCTGCTCAGATGGCACGTGAGTTCGATGAGTTTTATGCAGAACCTTATGAGGTAACGAGTTTAAGTGTCTTGAAGGGCGTTACAGTTTTCCTTAAATTATGCAGTTTTAATCCTTGTTCATGAGAAATCAGTAGTTTGAAAGCCTGATCTTTTGGTTGTGGTTGCAGCCAATAATCAACAGCAACAAGAGGCGAGCATGCAGTGAGCCACCGACAAGAAGGAGAATCCCGAACACTGCCATGGCCAGTGATGAAGAGTTAATCCGTCTACCAAATCCAATGATCGGGTTTGGTGTACCTAACGAACCTGGACTTATGACGCAGAGACCAGTCCCACTTCCAGATGTTGCTCGAGGTCCACCTTACTTCTATTATGAAAACGTTGCTATAGCGCCTAAAGGAGTTTGGGCCAAGATCTCCAGCAAATTGTATGGTATCAAGCCCGAGTTTGTGGATTCTCAGTATTTCTGTGCAGCTGCAAGAAAAAGAGGCTACATCCATAAAGCTCTGCCTTGGGCTGAGAGATGGTGGCCTAGTTGGGATGATAGAACTAACTGAACTGTCTGCAGACTTGCGTTGCTAGTGCTCAAATGACAAATAAAATACGGAAAGTTCTAGAGAAAGATGATAAGAATCTGTTTGTGCAGAAAGAGATCATTGAACAATGCAAGAGATGGAATCTGGTTTGGGTTGGAAAGAACAAGGTTGCCCCACTTGAACCAGATGAGATAGAAAAGCTTCTAGGATTCCCAAAAGATCATACTAGAGGAGGTGGTATTACTAAAACTGATAGGTACAAGTCTCTGGGAAACTCATTCCAGGTATAGTTGTATAAATAATGCTCTTTGTCAATTAAGTTTTGATTAAAAGGTATTTGGTTCTAACCTTGTTTTGTTTTGTATAGGTGGATACTGTTGCCTATCACTTGTCTGTGCTTAAACACTTGTTCCCAAAAGGAATAAAGGTTCTGTCACTCTTCTCGGGCATAGGTGGTGGAGAAGTGGCACTTCGACGTCTGCAGATTCCAATGAAAGTGATTGTCTCTGTTGAGATTTCAGAGGTCAACAGAAACATCTTGCGGAGTTTTTGGGAGGAGACGAAACAAATGGGCGATGTTCTGATAGAGTTTAAAGATGTTCAAGCATTAGACGACCATAAGATTGAGGAACTTATGGATCATTATGGAGGATTTGATCTGGTTATAGGAGGTAGTCCTTGTAACAATCTCGCAGGAGCCAATCGTGTTAGTCGGACCGGACTTGAAGGAGATCAATCTTCACTGTTCTTTGAATTTTGCCGGATTCTCGATGTTGTTCGCCGCAAAGCAGCAAGAATGAGAAGATAGAGTATCTCTTTTGTAGATCACTTCGTACATGAGTTTCAAAATGATTCAGACTTGTATTTTGCAGATTCTTTTTGTGCTTCTCTGGACATTATTGCAGAGATTTTATTGCAGGGATATTTTTGCAGGGATCATATTGCAGGAATATTTTGATCTTAGTTTAGCAAGTCTCTAAGTACATGCGCTAAACCAAATTGAACCATACTTAACCCGAAATGTTAGAGAATCAATCCCATATGTTTATCCAATTTTGATGGGAATGGAAAGTCAAAAACTTGCATTTATTTTTTTGTTTCCTCTGTTTCGTCTTTTCTTTGTTGTTTCCTTATTAACTTGACCTTTCCAAAGTAAGTAACTTTGGGATGTCCCACCATTAAATTGGAGCTTAAAGAGACCATGTTCGTTCTAAGACAAGAAGGCTCATCTTATTCAAGGTTGCTTCTCCTCCTCCTTCTAGTACTGTTACTACACCGTTTTCTCAGCTCTGTTCCTCACAATGCTTCGTGCTCAAAGGTACGGACTCACTCTTTTTTTTTTCCTCAGATGCATTTAGTGTAATCATTGGCCATATGTTAATCACAGAATTAACAAAACATATTAGATACAGTCAAAGATTTCATGTAGCTTTGATACAATGAAATAACTTATGGAAATCTCTCTAGATCCCAAATAGATTAGGAGGCGAGATAGAAATAAATTTAAGTGTATCTAATCATAATATACTTGACATCCTTATCTCAATACTTTCCATGACATGTAATTAGATTGGTTGCATCTGGAAGTTGACTTCTTGATCTGAGTGAGTTCTGTACAGAAGAGATATATTGATAGTGTCATAGTTTTAAGAGTTTTGGTGTGTGCATCAGGGTTTTCAGGGAGCACATCATCCGAAGAGTCCGGAGGTATATTAGAAGGCTTAACTCCTGGCTATTGAACTCATGGATGCAGTCTTATTTGGAAGAGGTCTTTTGTGTTCATGAGCTGGTTTTTGCATCATTATTTTGACTGATTCCTCAGAGTCTTAAAAGTTTTGATTTTTTTTTTTCCCTCTGTTTCTTCTTTGGTAAAGATTGAGGATTGCAAGATTAAGGTGTTTGATAAACTGACTGCAAAAGCAGAGAAGGTGTTGGAGATTGGTATTGGGACTGGTCCTAATATGAGATACTACGCTGCTCGTAATATGAACGTAACTGTTCTTGGGTTGGATCCAAATCCCAAAATGAAGAAGCACGCACGCAAATCCGCTGCGAAAGCAGGATTGAAACCTAAAAGCTTTAAATTCAAGCAAGGAGTAAGTTTTTGGTTATCAGTTTGCATCCTACAAATATTGTCTTTTTCTTATAATCCACTGATGTTAGTTCTATACTTCTCTGTTGATCTTGTCTGTTGCTAGGTAGGAGAAGCTATACCACTAGATGATGATTCTATGGATGCAGTCGTTGCAACACTTGTTCTATGTTCTGTATCTGATGTCACTAAAACACTCAACGGTAATACGTTCTTCCAACTAATTAAAACATCATTGCTCAATTCTATACAAATAGAAAGTAACCCTTTTCAGGATTTCTATCAGAAATCAAAAGGGTATTGAGACCAGGAGGGATTTTCATCTTCTTAGAACATGTTGCAGCAAAAGGTACAAAAGTGTACACACAGATAGAGAGAGAGAGAGAGAGAGAGAGAGAGAGAACTCTTACCATAACCTGAAATGCTATTTGGTTATAGATGGATCGTTCTTCAGGCGTTTGCAGAAGCTGTTGGATCCATTGCAGCAGAAATTTTCAGATGGATGCCATTTGACAAGAAACACAAGAGAGTGCATCTTGGAAGCTGGTTTCAGTGGCGGTGCCGAAATAGAGACGGTGTCTATCTATAGCTTCCCGTGGATAACAAGACCTCATATCTATGGAGTTGCTTACAAGTAAAACTAATCAACTCTTTAACACTACAATGTCTAAGATTTTTTATGACTGCAATTGTAACTGAATTTTCATTACTGAAAAAGGAAATGAGAAAGTTTATAAGACAAGTCGCTAGTGACGAACACAACACTGATGAATGGTTTTGCAATTTAGTACAAACAGAGAACATAATTAGATCCGTCTAGCCAATGATCTTCAATCCCTAGCCCATATCCAAGAGTTCCCAAAAGAACTATCACATGAATAGATATCGCATGTGACAGAATTTTGTGTTAGGTACACCAATATCTTGTTACTTTAAAAAGATGTCTCTGGTCCATTAGAAGATGCACCTAGAACAGAATCTATACCATTGCATCAGTTGATGCAGTTGTGGGAAGTCTCGTGATGTGTTGTGTCACAGATATCTCTCAAAACGCTCAACGGTAACATCTTACTTCAGATGTGAGATTAGTAGCAATCTTAACAAAAGAAAGCAATAGTCATAAACATTTGGATACATTACAGAGATAAAGCGGATTCTAAAGACCGGGAGGGCTTTACCTTTTCATGGAACATGTTGCAGCTGAAGGTATCTCTTTTAAGTCAAGAGGAATCCATCAGAATCCATTGATGCAGGAAAGATGAAAACTAACGAGGTTGGTGCAGAATGTGTTGGATACAGTGCAACAAGTTGTAGCCGATGGATGTCATCTAACGAGGCACACAAGTGATTACATTTTAGAAGCTGGATTCAATGGCGGTGTGGATATCAATCAACAAGGCTTCTCTTTCTAGCTTTTATCACTTAGGCCCTCATGTCTATGGCGTTGCATACAAACTAAAACAAGAAAATTTGTCTTAAACTCATTCCAAAGTTTGTAACTTTATTGTAATTAAATTTTGAAATTTTGGAAAGAGACGTTTGTATAAAAGAGATTTCACATGTGGATGAAATCTGGCGGTACAAAGTATATCTTCATCTTCTTCACTCTTCTGCTTTCTTTTCCGATTATGATGCGTAATTGAGCTTTTGGGTCAGCAATGGCGATCCTGCACTTGTCAACTTCTTCACTGATCTCGACGATAACCAACTCACGACGAAGAACGATTAGGGCTTCGCGAGATTCCGTCAGAACCCAGAAGAATCTCATTAAGACAGATTCTGTCTCCTCTTTCAGCTTATGTACCTGTGGAAGAAGGCATTTTCTTGGAGCTATGACTTCGATGCCGTTTCTTCCCATCTCTCCCTCCTTCGCCTCTGCTTCTTGCTCAACGGTTTCTTCCTTTGACTCCAGTTTGTGTTGAAAGTTTTTACCTTTTTTCTCGCTTGATCTGAAATTGGGTACATCGGATTGTCGAATGAAAAATCCCCAAAATGATTGAGCTTTAGGGTTTATCTTTAATTGATGAGTAATGCATCCTCTTATCATCTAAAAATCTATTCTTTTGTTTATCAGGACGATTTGAAAAGATTGCGTCCTCCAAAGCCAGATTGGTATGAGGAGCTCTTCGCTTGGTCAATGAACACAGAGATGGAATCTTACGAGAAAGAGGTCAATAACTTCATGAGTTTGATGATCTTACATTCCTTTTTGTTTGTCATATTCTTATATATCTTCTTCTTTTGTTCAGATTTCTGGTTACAAGATGAAACTCTTTGATAATTTGGTTGGAAAAGCAGAAAAGATTTTGGAGATTGGCATTGGAACAGGTCCCAATTTCAAGTACTACACAACAGTTATTCCAAACGTTTCTGTTCTTGGTGTGGATCCAAACGCTAAAATGGAAAGCTACGCACGCAGATCCGCTGCAGAAGCGGGTTTAAAACCCGAAGATTTTAGATTCATTCACGCTGTAACTTTGTGATAATGGATTCAAAATTCATCATCATTGCATTGATCCTTGTTGGTGCATCCCTTGATGCTACATTTCTCTCCTGTTGATTTTTGCTTAGCTTGGAGAATCTATTCCGTTAGAAGATGCATCGGTTGATGCAGTTGTGGGGACTCTCGTGCTTTGTTCCGTCACTGATGTCACTCGAACACTCAAAGGTAATCGTGTACTTTCTTTAAATCCAACGTAGTAACAGATGAGAACAATAATGCTCATCAAACAGTTTGGTTGCTATGGTTTTGTTACAGAGATAAAACGGATTCTAAGACCGGGAGGGATTTACATTTTCATAGAACATGTTGCAGCAGAAGGTATCTCTTTTGACTCGGAATTCATCTGAGTCCATAGTAGACACTATGATGCTAAAGTCAGAAGTTTTTTTTTGGTTTTTGGCTGAGCAGATGGTTCATTTCTGAGGTTGGTGCAGAATGTGTTGGATCCATTGCAACAAGTTGTTGCCGACGGATGTCACCTGACGAGGCACACCGGAAAGTATATTTTAGAAGCCGGGTTTAATGGCGGTGCAGATATTAAAAAGGCCTCTCTTTCTAGGTTTGCTTACATAAGCTCTCATGTCTATGGGGTTGCTTACAATTAGAAAAACAGGAGTGTGTCTCTTAAACTCATCCAAGGTATGATAATGATTGTACATATTCAATGATATTAATAAATCTAATGATGGTGGTTGTCTATTTTATATAGTATTAGGTAAGTCTGATATCGATATGGGTGTGACAGGGTGTACTTGTTGATATAAAATAACTATTGTGTATTTTTAAAAGCTTCAATCTTGAAAGTATTATTCTGTAATGTTCGAGTCCCTAGATTAGATTAGATTAGATTATTCCCTAGAGATCTGGAGACAGTTCTAAAGACTATAAGGTCTGCGATTGTATGATTATTGTGGCCATTGATGATGATGATGATGATGATGATGATGACTCAAGTGCAATCAACGCCTTCCTCACTGGTGTCGTCGCTCACATACACACCTCGCCTAGCAATTAGAGCTTCACGAGATCATGTTTGTGCTGACACTCTAAAGAGTCACATTCCTTCAGGCTCTTCTTCTTCCAGAAGCTTATGTTCTTGTGGAAGAAAACATTTTCTTGAAGCAGCTAGCCCGAAAATGCCCTTTGTTCCCATCTATTATCCTAATGCTTCGCGTTCCAAGGTGAGTTTTGTTTCTTTTTATCTTTCTCCTAGATGGATTTTGTTTATAGGCACCAATATGAGTTTACAAGTAAATAACTTTTTTTCTTTTGGCACAAAGATTCTAAATGCCAAGTTTGGTACTCTTGACTGAATATGATATAATTTCTGAGAACCATTGCACTTGACATGTGGAGGAAATGTAATTGACCAAGATTTATCTTCACTAGGATGTTTCAGAGACATTTCATCCTCAGAGGCCAGATTGGTATAAGGAGCTTTTTGCTTGGTTCTTGAGCACAGGAATGCGATCTTATGAGGCAGAGGTCAGTCTTTATGACTTGGATGGATCACTTTATTTTGATCCATTTCTTGAGATTTCAGTTCTGTTTTGTGATTATTACACCTTCTAAAAACCCGAGTTTCCGGTTTTTATGTTTGTGTTATTTGATAAGATCGCGGATTACAAGAAGAAACTTTTCGATAATCTGACTGGTAAAGCAGAAAAAGTGCTGGAGATTGGTGTTGGTACAGGTCCTAATCTCAAGTACTACGTGAGTAATGAGAACGTTTGTGTTTTCGGTATGGACCCGAATCACAAAATGGAAAAGTACGCCTGTGAATCTGCTAAGGAAGCCGGGCTGAAACCAGAAAACTTCAGATTCATCCAAGGAGTGAGTTTATACAAATCTGATTTAAGTCTTTTTTGAGAGCTCTCTTTTTCATTATCTTCTTTGTTGATCTTGTCTCTCATCGTATCTAGGTAGGAGAAGCTATACCGTTAGATGATGACTCTGTGGATGCAGTCGTTGCAACACTTGTTCTATGTTCTGTCTCTGATGTCACTCAAACACTCAATGGTGATTTCTCAACTTTGTATTCATTAGAAAGTCTTGCAATTTTCATAGATCCTTAACCGAGTATTGTTTTCAGAGATCAAGCGTGTGCTGAAACCGGGAGGGATTTTCATATTCATCGAGCACGTAGCGGCTGAAGGTATGCACATCACTACCACTTGAAATCAAACTGTTAAAGACAAATCTGAAATCCAAAAGTGTTGTGTTTTGGGGGTTGGTTGGTTGCAGATGGATCTTTTTTCAGGAATATCCAAAATGTATTGGATCCATTGCAGCAAGTAGTTGCAGACGGATGCCATTTGACAAGAAACACCGGTTTATACATTTCGGCTGCCGGTTTCGGTGGTGGCACAGAGATCAATACGGCGGCAATCTATAGCTTCCCTTGGATCATAAGACCTCATGTCTATGGAGTTGCGTACAAGTAACTATGCAAGTATAAGGCAAGGTTTCAAAGATCCATGAGGTAACTTATGTTTTCAAATCTATCATTCAGTTTCGTAACTATGCAAATTGATTCTCAATTTTCGAAACTCTCGCTGTATTATTCCACTCTTTGTTACAAGTTTATAACTTGTAGCAGAAGTCTCCTATGAAATCCTAGAATTGTCTCCCTTTGTTAATTTGAGGCCATTGTATTGGACCTCTGTTTTAATTTTTATTGGCTACTACATATGAATTATACGGGTTGGATTTTCTCTAAAATCAACTTCTGTCTCAGGAGAAGTTTATCAAATTAAAAAGATTGCAAAAGCACTGAAAACTTTAAAGAAAAAAATGCAAGACCTTCGTTCTAGTAGATTTACCGAATGTTTCAAAACAATTTTTTTTTTTCTGATTATCTCTTCTTACTAACATTAGACATGTCTAATTAGAGACCACATGCAAGAAAAAAAAAAAAAAGCTACAAAACCAATATTCCCCCCCAATTAAAAAAGCAAAGAAATAAAAAGGATATGATGTGCGGCTGCAGCTTGCAGCAATGGAAGTGAGAACAAAAGGGAAGAAACATGTTACATGTTCCGAAAGTTGCACATGAGAGAGAGCTTCACGTCATTGTCCTTTCGACTATCCCACGAGCACCGTTTATTTTCACGTTGCTCCCACTTTTTTCTTTTCTTTTTTTTGCATATTGTTTTTTAAGCAGTTTATCACGTCATCTTACTTATTTTATAAAAATATGTAAGGTCTATCTATGTCATCGTTACTTCGTTAGTAATAGACAAATACAGACCGATCAATTCATACGTACGAACAAGTCTTTTTCAAAAAGAAACTTAAATACACTAAGTCTTTTCTCTTTATGTTCGTTAGAATCACTATACCCGAATAACTAATTTATAGTCGTCGAAACTCTTAACAACATATTGAAATTTGAAATCTATATTCTTATCATTTCAGTATTACAGTATATATATGATGTCAATTAAAGGAACTGCTTGATTATTATTTTACGGTTAAAGGATTATTTTTCTCATTTGATATTTCAGATGGATTATATGGTCTTATTTTTTTATTTTTTTGGTAAAAGTATATGCACTACAAGAAAACAATCGTTTTCCAACGGTCCCATGGTTTTTAAATCGTCGCAAATTTACAACAATTTTAACGTCTAATTTAAAAACCGTCGTATATAAAAATCGTCGTAAACTCGACGTACAATTTACGACGAATTACGACGATTATACATCGATAACGAGAAATTTGCTAGTAAATGTAAAATCGTCGTAAATTCGTCGCAAAATTACGACGAATATACGACGACTACATTTCGATGTACATATTACGACGATTGTACGTCGAAAAAAGAGTTAGGTGAAAAACATTTAAAACATGTTTACCTAACAATTGTATATGAAAAATTTTATCGCAAAATCGTCGTAAACTCGTCGTAATATCATTGTTGAATGTAAAACCGTCGTTAAAAGTCGTCGTAAAAGCGTTGTAAAGCCCGAAATTTTCCTATAAATAGATCTTCATTCCTTCATTCAATCACAACACATCATCATTCAAACATAAGAGCATCTTCATCTTGGAGACCCATTGTAGGTCTCTTAAATTTTAGTATAGTGTTGTAAATCCTTATATATTGGGTTGTCCATTGCTGAAAACCCGAATTAAGAGTTATATTACTTTGAATCAAAGAAGTAATAATATTATAAGGTTAATTTACTTCATTCACGTGGCTAGACGTGACACAAGAGACCACCTCCTTTATTGTCTAATCAGTAAAAAGAGATAGTATTTTGAGTTTATTTTCAAGATGTCTATATACGAGCTAAGAAGTTGGATGTATATGCGTAAAGATTCAGATGGGGCGTTGACAGAAGAGTTCAAGAACGGGTTAGAAATATTTATGTATTAGGCTACATGGAGAGAACGAAAGATAGTGGGAAGATGTTTTGTCCTTGTTTGAAATGCAAGAATACGAGGTATACACTAACCAAAACCGTGTGGACGCATTTATTAAATAGAGGGTTTATGCCGCAATATTTTGTTTGGTATCTACATGGAGAAGGATATGGCAGTAATACTCATGGGAATGCTGGTAGTAGTAGTAATTATCAAAGTCATGTTGATATTGATGAATCGAATTATGGTCATCAGCCTAATCAGTATCAATATGACCAAAGTGTAGATCATGATAGGATGCACGAAATGGTGACTGATGCATTTCATGAAACGCATACGGGTAATGCTGTTGAGGAACCTAATGTAGATGCCAAACGATTTTATGATTTGTTAGACAATGCTAATCAGCCAATCTACGAAGGATGTAGAGAAGGCTTGTCTAAAGTATCGTTGGCAGCTAGGATGATGTCAATTAAAACAGATCATAACCTGGCTGAGGTTTGCATGGATGATTGGGCTGATCTTCTGAAGGAGTATCTACCGGAGGATAACTTGGCAGCGGGAACATACTACGAAATTCAGAAGTTGATTTTTAGTTTTGGTCTACCTTCTGAGATGATAGATGTATGTGTTGAAAATTGTATGATTTTTTGGAAAGACGATGATCAGCTGGAGGAATGTCGATTTTGCCATAAACCAAGATACATGCATCAAACTGGTGGGCGTAAAAGGATACCGTACCAACGTATGTGGTATCTCCCTATAACTGATAGGTTAAAACGGCTTTATCAATCTGAAAGGACAGTTGCATCAATGAGATGGCATGCGGAACATACACAAGTAGATGGAGAAGTTGTTCATCCATCAGATGCAAAGGCATGGAAACACTTCAATATGGTATACCCAGATTTTGCTAAGTTCAAACGGAATGTCTATCTTGGTCTGTGCACTGATGGTTTTAGTCCATTTCGTATGTCTGGTAGACAATATTCATTATGGCCAGTAATCCTAACTCCTTATAACCTTCCTCCAGATTTGTGCATGCAAAGGAAATTTCTTTTCCTAAGTATTTTGGTTCCAGGTCCAAATCATCCGAAGCGAGCTCTCGATGTATTTCTTCAGCCACTCATACATGAGTTGAATCAGTTATGGTATACTGGCGTTCGTACATATGACTGTTCTACGAGGAAAAATTTTACTATGCGGGATGTGCTTATGTGGACAATAAGAGATTTCCCCGCTTACGGTATGCTATCAGGATGGACTACACATGGGAGGCTATCTTGTCCTTATTGTCTTCATCGAACTGATGCGTTTCAGCTAAAACATGGTAGAAAAACTTGTTGGTTTGATTGTCACCGGAGGTTTTTACCGGATAACCATCCATATCGGAGGAACAAGAGGTTATTTTTGAAGAACAAAAGTGTACGTGTCCCTCCACCCGTTAATTTAACAGGTGCTGATATACAGGCGCAAATAGATCATTGGAGGGCAGAAGAAACAGTAACTCGTGGGGGAAACTGGCACACTCCTGCAAATATGCCTTAAGGTTATGGAGTTCATCATAATTGGCCCAAGAAAATTATCTTCTGGCAACTAACTTATTGGAAAGATCATCTGCTCAGACACAATCTTGATGTCATGCACATTGAAAAAAACTTTTTTGATAACATCATGCATACAGTTATGAACGTAGCGGGAAGAACAAAAGACAATAGCAAATCAAGATTGGACTTGCCTGATTTATGCAACAGAAGTGAGTTGCATCTACTGAGAAACGGGAAAGCACCGGTTCCTATATTTCGGTTGAGTGCAGATCAAAAGTCAGCATTGTTCAGATGGGTTTCTTCTGACGTTAAATTTCCTGATGGGTATGTCTCTAATCTTTCCAAATCTGTTGAGAAGGGGGTAAAGTTTGCTGGGATGAAAAGCCATGACTGCCATGTCTTTATGCAACGATTATTTCCATTTGCATTTGCTGAACTCTTGTCCAAAAACGTCCATGAAGCTATTAGAGGCATTGGTGCTTTTTTTCGGGATCTTAGTACACGAACATTATCAGTTGATGTAATATCACAACTGACATTGAATATTCCAATCTTGTTGTGCAATTTGGAAAAGATCTTCCCACCATCATTTTTTGATGTTATGGAACATCTTCCTGTTCATCTCCCATACGAAGCAGAGCTCGGTGGACCCGTTCAGTACAGGTGGATGTATCCGTTCGAGCGTTTCATGAAGCATCTTAAAGGTAAAGCCAAAAACCTAGCTAAAGTGGAAGGCTCAATTGTGGCGGGAAGCTTAACGCAAGAGACTTCACACTTCACTTCATACTATTTTGCACCAAAAGTACGAACACGCAAAAGAGCTACTCGTCGATATGATGATGGAGGAGTTGGCCATACTTATGCCGTTGAAGGTGTACCTGACATATTCTCGCCGATCGGACATCTTAGTGGAAAACTAAAAGATGTTTGGTGGTCCAATGAAAAAGATTATCATAGTGCACATACGTATATCCTGTTAAATTGTGAAGAGTTGTCATCGTATGAAAGGTACCTTTTTAATTAATAATATCTTTATATGAGTTGTCAGTATTAATAACTATTTGTTGTTTTTCTCAGCACATTTGTTGATGAGGTTAAAGAATACATATCTGGGGTTTCTGAAACTGAAATCAATGATCGTAAAGATCAACACTATGCCCAGTGGTTAAAAGGGCAAGTACGTATAAAATTTTAATTAAAAGAGTACTACTTTAATTTGCTATATATCGAAATCAAGAAATCAAAGCGGAATTTTTTTCTTATTAGGTGGACCCGAATGATCCGGATGAATTTCCAACATGGTTCCACGAGTTACTACTAGGTCCGATGACAAAAATAACTACAGCCTCAATGTATTTCACTCGGGGCTATGTTATTCACACATACCGTCACGGTGCAAAGCGGGCGACAACAAACTATGGAGTTTGTGTGAGGGGTGAAATCGATTTTTATGGAGTTGTGCAAGAAATAATTGAAGTAGAGTATCCTGGATTGTTAAGGCTGAAAACTGTTCTCTTCAAATGTGATTGGTTTGATCCAACTGTTGGACAAGGGGTACGTCTAAATTAAACAAGTTTGGAGTTGTTGACGTGAACAAATCACGACGGTACAACAGGTTTGAGCCATTTATATTAGTTTCTCAAGCAGAACAGGTAACGTTTCTGCCATACCCTCGAGTTCGATCAACAGGAATTTCATGGTTAGCTGTAGTTAAAGTGGCTCCGAAGGGCAAGATTGTAGGGGTTGAACCAGATGT